GACAGGGTCTCCCTATAGCCCCAGCTGTCCTGGAACTCACTATGTAGACCAGGCTGGCCTTGAACTCACAGAGATCCACCTGCCTCTGCCTCCCAAGTGCTGGGATTAAAGGCGTGCACCATCACACCCAGCAAAAATAAATAAATCTTAAAAAAAAAACAAAACAGGCTGGAGAGATGGTTCAGTGGTTAAGAGCACTGACTGCTCTTGCAGAGGAGCAGGGTTTGGTTCCCAGCGACTACATGGCGGCTACAAACCGTCCTTAACTCCAGTTCCAAGGAAATCTGATGCCCTCTTCTGATGGATGCTCTCACATACATGCAGGCAATACATTCATACACATAAAATAAAAACAATAAATAAAATTAAAAAAAAAAGAGATCTGCTGGATGTGGTGGCACACGCCTTTAATCCTAGCACTTGGGAGGCAGAGGCAGGTGGATCTTTGTGAGTTCGAGGCCAGCCTCGTCTACAGAGTGAGTTCCAGGACAGCTGGGGCTACAAGGAGACCCTGTCTCAAAAAAGACAAAAAAAAAAAAAAAGAGATCGAGGCTAGTCTGGTCTACATAGTGAGTTCTAGGCCAGCAGGGGCTATAGAGAAACCCTATCTCAGAAGACCAAAGAAAAATCCCAGTCTTATCCTGTAATTCCAGCATTGTAGTAAGCATAGGGTAGGAGAATTCTGAATTTGACTTCATTTTGGACCACGTAGGGACCCTGTGGCCAAAGACAAAATAAAATAAAAAATCCCGGTCTCTCCCTCAGAGTAGATGTTGTAGGAAGTATCACTTATGTGTTAGGTAGATAATCACATTCAGAGACCTACTAGTGGTAGAGAGCAATGGCTAGCTCAAAAGAGTGATCTTTATTTCTTTCAGGCAGCTACAGACCTCCTGGAATATCATGCTATTTGGACAAAACGTGAGCAAGTCAAGCAATGTGGAGTACAAACTAAATCATGTGCCAAGTGAAAAAGGTTAATGAGAGCATGAACTAAACACCGATGGTATACTATCAAGTTGCAGTCTGAAGAAAACAAAACAGAAAAGAGAAAAACTCTACCTGCTGAAGACTAGTGGAGAAATAAAAGCCCAGAAGGCAAATATCTAAAAGCATGAGGTAGAGGTACAAACTTCAAAAACCTAGTCATGTACACTACTCCAGTCTCAGTGGCAGACTGGAGAGGGTGGTGGGTAACCACAGTCAGAGGAGGTGTAATTTTGTCCCTCAAAACAGATTTCTGGGGCAGGTCGGAGGCTCAGCGTGCCAAGTTGTTTGCCAAGCCTGAAGACCTGAAATCAATCCTCAGAACCCACAGAGTGAAAGGAAGAACAGACTCCTGCGAGTTGTCCTCTAACTTCTACACTTGCGCTATGGCATGTGTGCACTCACCCACACAAAATAAATGCAAAAAATAAATTAAAAAAATTAAAAAATAGATTTCCACAGGCTGCTTAAATCATTAATAGTATTTAAGGAACTCTGAAACTAGTGAATTTACTTTCCAGTACAAAAGTTTGAACATAAAGCACATCTGTGAAAGTGATCTCTAGACAGGGGTCAGTGCTCTGCAGGCTCTAAAAAGAGGAAGCAGAATGGCACACAGAATCCACACCCGACAAACAAAGCAGTTCAGGAAGAAAGAGGGAAGTGAAGGAGAGCAGAAGGTGGCTCAGGTTCAACTGACTCAATTCCTGTCTTTGTATAAACTAACAGTAAGTCTTCCTCTCTAACCGTTACTCCAGTTTACTGACTATCCAACCCACCATCTCAACATCAAATTCCTTTGCTTTCAACTCAGAATCTTTTTTTTTTTTTTTAAGCCCCAGCTGTCCTGGAACTCACTATGTAGACCAGGCTGGCCTTGAACTCACAGAGATCTGTCTGCCTTTGTCTTCCGAGGGCTGGGACTACAGGTGTGCGCCGCCACGACCGGCTCAACTCACAATCTTAAAATTTCCTATCCAGGCATTTTATCTCAAACTGACCTCACTAACAGTAAGTATCACCACCCCCACCCCCCACGCCCCCCCACCCCTGCCATCTGTTTTTGTTTTTAAATCAAGGTCTCATTATGCAGCCCAGGCTGGCTTTAAACTGGGGGCAATCCCAAGTGCTGGGATTATAGGCATGTACCATCAACCAGCTCTGATAAGTATTTTTAAAATGGATAATAAAAGAGTAATAGATTAGCAACATTAAGTTTATATAAGTGAACAACTATACTATGAATGTGTAAAAGAATATCTCTAGACTCAGGAAACATGCTAAAGCATACAGAGATAAAAGACCAGGACTATGCAATTTACCTCAAATGGGTCAAAAATACGGTTATGTAAACACACATACATATACATGTAACAATTATGTAAGAATATATGTGTGTGTGTTTCTGTGTGTATATGTATATATACTTGTCTGTATTTTTATATATCATCTCATATATGTGAGGGTGAGCAAAGAGAGAGAAAGGGAAAGGGATGAATGGAAAAGGAGGGGGATGTGTAAGAGCATGGAGGGGCTAGACATGGTAGTGCATGCTTTCTTTTTTTTTTTTTTTTTGGTTTTTTTGAGACAGGGTCTCCCTGTAGCCCCAGCTGTCCTGGAACTCACTATGTAGACCAGGCTGGCCTTGAACTCACAGAGATCCATCTGCCTCTGCCTCTGAGTGCTGGGATTAAAGGCATGTGCAACCACGCCCGGTTATAGCTTTTAATTGCAGCATTTGGGAAGCAGAGGCAAGGATAATGTTTGTTGAGTTCTAGGCCAGCCTGGATTACATAGCAAGTTCCAGGCCAGCCATGGTACACAGGGAGGAAGGTATTAAGGTAAAGGGAGGGGCAAATGAGCACAAATGTACAGGACTACATTGTCCTATAGTAAAATCACTAGTAATGTGGCTATGAGCACTTGAAATATGGTTAATATGACCGGCTATGTGCTATATATACTGGGCTTCAATTTTTGAAATTAAAAAAGTAAAGTATTTCTGTATTTAAAAATACAGATTTTATATTAAAATATTTCCATTACCCTTACCCACTGAGCCATCTCATCTGCCCTTAACTTTATTATTATTGTGTTAGTGTATGTGCACATGATGTGAGTACAGGAGCACATGTGCCATAGTGCATGTGTGGAGGTGAGAGGACAATTTTGTAGAGTTCGTTCTCTCCTTCCACCTTTACACAGATTCCTGGGATTAAACTCAGGCTGTCAGGCTCGTGCAGCAAGGACTTTTACTCCCTGAGTAAATCTGCATATAGGAAGTCAGAAGACAGAGTCAGATCCCCTGGAAATGGAGTTACAGACAGTTGTTAGCTGCCATGTGGGTGCTGGGTATTGAACATGGGTCTTCTGGAAGAGCAGCCAGTGCTGAGTCATCTCTCCAGCCCCGTAGATATACGTGTGTGTGTCTGTGTGTTTATGTGTATGTATTTGTGTATATGTGGGTGCATGTGAGGGTGGAGATCAGAGTACAGCCATGGGTGTCGTTCCTCAGATACCATCCATATTTCTTTGAGACAGGGTCCAAGTAGAGTAGGCTGTCTGGCCAGGAAGACCAGGGATCCACTGCGTCCACCTTCCCAGTGCTAAGATTACAAGTACACACAATGCGTGGCGTTTTAGATGAGGATTTGGGGGCTTGAACTACAGTCTCATGCTTGTGTGGAAAGCACCTTGGCAAGCAAGCTGCATTCCTGGTTCAGTTTCACATAACTTTCTAGAGAACTGAGGCACTTGAGATACCATTATTTCTCACCCATTCCTTTCTATTTGCCGTGGCTCTCAGCCATCAATAACGCTAATTTGGGGATGCTGTGTGTTTTATAAAAACATTATTTCAATATTTTAACAAAGATATATAGTCCATGGGCAAATTCTAGTACTTTCAAAAAGATTTATTTTAAAAAATTTGTGTAAGAGGAAAAATAAATTGGTGTATCTGGGCCAATTGTAGGGTCTTAAACACCCCAAAAGGAAAGTATAACCAAAGATTAAAGGGGTCAATATAATTTTTTAACAGTCCATATGTATAGCTAAAGGCTACATAACAAGAAACAATTTACTGGCCCTTTTTACAGGGTTGTGGACAGAGTTTCATGTACCCCAGGCTAGTCTTAAACTAAGCAGGATGAGCTTGAACTTCTGATCTTCTTGACTCACCTTCCTAGTACAACCACATCTGGTTTCTGCAGTGCTGAGGATCAAACCCAGAGCTTCCAGTATGTTTCCTAGGCAAGCACACTACCAACTGAGCTGCAGCCCCTTTGTAATTTTTCCGATTCCTCAGGGAAGAGGGCCAGCAAGATGGATCAGATAGTAAAGGTGCTTGCTGCGAAGTCTAATGATCTGATTTTGATACCTAGGACCCACATGGTGGAATGAAGGAACCGATTCCCTCAAGTTTTTCTCTGACCTCCACACACACTGTGGCACACTCATCTATACATACACATACATAGACACACACAAAAATAAAATGAAATAGGAAAATTTAAAAATATATATTGGGGGGGTGGCTAGTGAGACAGTCAGTTGGTTAAGGTACTTGCCATCAATGCCATCAAGCCTGACAACCTGAGTTTGACCACCAGAACCCACATGGTAGAGAAAGCTGATTCACTCTTCCAAGTTGTCCTCTGACTTTGACATGTATGCCATGGTAAGTGCACACCCATAGCCATACACATATACAGACACAAAAATAAATAAGTAGAAAGGAGGAAAAAAAGGAGGGTAGAACACAAGGGATAATCTAAATATGAAACTTAGGGATGCCCAACACAACTGTGGACAGCCGTGATCTGAGATGTCATGAATATCATTATTCCATATAAGTAACTAATGTGGGTTGCACAACCAAAGGAAGGAGCCAAAAGCAAGGGAAGTCCAACAGCCACCCTACTTACCCCTCTGAAAAGAAGGCATTGATAATTCGGTCCCCCAGTGGGTTGATGGCAAGTTCTGGAATCCTCTGGAAATCTTCCCGGCTGCCAAGAGAATCACAATAAATTAGAATAGCATTTGGAATGCAACAGAGTACAGTATGCAGCATACTGCTGCAGGGAATTTACTTGTGTGGCAAATTACACTGGGTAACTGTAACATCTCAAAAGTGTTTCATGTACCAACTCAAGTTGGAAGAAGCAAGATTGGATTATGCTTCCAGACCAGCTGGAGCTACAGGAAGATCCTGTCTCAAAAAAGTTGACAAAAAAAAAAAAAAGGATTTGATTATGCTATATTCCAGTAAATCTAGCAAGGAAGTTATGCCTATCATCCAACCAACAAGCAAAACCTAAACTGTTCCTTAGTAAATGATTTCTTCAACATTACCATTTTGTAGTTAGTAAGTTTGGAGAGTAAACAGCAAATAGAGGCAGTCAAGACCACTGAACCTGAATATGGGAGCAAGAAGTTGAAGGGCGCCTTCATTCACATGCTCAAATGCTTGCTTGGGAAGGTACAGACGTTCATGAAAGGCAAAAAATCCTTAAGACATATTTCCAGTCGAGAAAAGAATATGCAGGGAGCAATGACTCAGGCCTGTAATCTCAGATCTTGGGATCATGAGTTGGACGCCACTTGTGGCAAGGTTGGCCTTGAATTAATTCCATTCTGTAGTGCAGGCCAATCTGGAATAGTCTTCCTGCCTCAGCCTCTGAATGCTGGGATTATAGGAATGTGCTACAACACCCAACTACAAAATTTTTTGAAAGTTGCTCTAGCAAAAAATGTTCAGACAGGGCCTGGAGAGATGGCTCATTAGTTAAGAGCACTGGCTACTCTTACAGAGAATCCAGGTTCAGTTCCCAGAACCCACATGATGGCTAACAACTATTCAGAACTCTAGTTCTGGGGCTGGAGAGATGGCTCAACAGTTAAGAATACTAGTTGTTCTTGCAGAAGGCCCAGGTTTGAATCCCAGCACCCACATGACAGCTAACAACTGTCTATAACTCCAGTTCCAGGGGATCCAACAGCCTCTTCTGTCCTCCGCAGGCACTGCGCAACACGGGTGCACTTACCTACACACAGGCAATACACACATACACATAAAATAAAAATAATAAAATATTAAAAAAAAACCTCCAGTTCTAGGGTATCTGATGTTCTCTTCTGTCCTTTGTTGGCATGACACAAACATACTTATATATAAACAGGCAATACACTAATACACATAAAAATAAAAAATAATAAAGAAAAAATGTTAAGCTAGGTATGATGACCCATGCCTTTATCCTAAAACCCAGGAACCAGAGGAAGGTGGATCTCTAGGAGACAGAAACCAGCTTGGTTTACATAGTGAGTTCCAGGTTAGGTGGGGCTACAGGGAGATCCTGTCTCAAAAATAAAATTAAATAAATAATAAAAAAAAAGCTCAATATTTTTCTAAAACTTCGTAATTTTTATTGGTATTTTTTGAGACAGGGTCTCCCTGTAACCCCAGCTAGGCTGGAACTCACTATGTAGACAAGGCTGGACTTGAACTCACAGAGATCTGCCTGCCTCTGCCTCCTGAGTGCTGGGAGTGTGTGCCACCACCCACAGCTAAAACTTAAAGAAAAACTGTTTTAATTTTATGTGTATGTGTGTATTGTCTGCAGGTTAAGTGCACTCATGTGGTGCAATGCCCGTGAAGGTCAGAAAAGGGCATTGGACTACCTGGAACTGGAGTTACAGATGGTTGTTAGTCACTATGTGGGTACTGGGAACCAATCCTGGGTCCTCTGCAATAGTCAGAGCTCTGAACCACTGTGTCATCTCTCCAACCCCAAAACTTCAATTTTTTAAAAAACTATTTTAATTTGTATGTGTATGTGTATGAGTGTTATGCCTACATGTATCATGCAGTGCCCGAGGAGGCCAGAAGAGGGCGTCAGTTCCCTTGGAACTAGAGCTACAAGTATGGTTGTTAGCGGCCATGTAGGTATTGGGATTTGAACCCAGGTCTTTTGCAAGCAATCAGTGCTCTTAAACTGCTGAGCCATCTCCCCAGCTCTATAAACTTCTTTACTTGATATCTTAGACTTACAAATGGTTACAGCAGTTTGGAATACAGAGCAAGACCTTGTTTCAAGGAATAAAGAAAAAGAATCCTTTCTTCAGACTAGAAGTAGAGAAGACTTAACCTTGAACATGGTAAGAGCAGTCATCCTTATATAACCTGGAGGTTGATACCATTCATTATGTACACATCCTGTGCTGCTCTAACTTGATAAGTTCTCTCTCTCATGCCAGTACTTTATCTGTACCCTTTTAGGGCTGAGGAAATTGAATTAGAGAGATAAAGTAACATGCCCTCTCACAATAAGTGTCTGAAATTGTTTTAAATCCAAGGGATTACAGTGATGATAACACAGCAGATTTACACTGATGAACAATCAGAAGTCTTTCTCTCCTCTCTGATGTATCTGGCTGCAATTGTTTTATACTTTATATCCATTTGTCTACCATGATTGCAGAGTTACAAGGTAGAAGGTGGTGCTAGCAATTTAACCCAATGCCTCATGTGTTCTACCACTGTTTACCAAACCTGGTAGGGCAATTTTTATTACAGTGAATATACAAAAATGCAAAGTTTCTGAGGTATGGTTCACACCTATAATCCCAGCATGGGAATCTGAGGCAAGGTGATTGCTTTTGAAAAGTTCAAGGCTACAATGATAACTGTTCAGAACCTTACCACCAAAGAAAAGTATAATAAATTATACATAAATAGTAAGGGATTTCCTTGCTAATGAAACACTTTTCTTTTTGTCTTCAAGCAGGCAAGCAGGTAGATATTTCTCTTGAAAAGTTCAAGGACTCCCATGGCAGCAGGGGACATGCTCCATATGTTGCTTAAAAGGCAGCTGGGTGGAAGCTTTGGGATAGAAGACTCTAAAAATTAAAATAAATTTCTCAAAAAAAAAAAACCCAAAAAACACTGTGGTGTCAGACGCTTGTAGTCTCAGTACTTGGGAGGCAGAGGAAGGTGGATCTTGTGAGATCAAGGCCAGCTTGGTCTATAAAATAAGCTCCAGGCCAGCTTGGGCTACAGGGGGACCCTGTCTCAAAAAGACAGAAAAGGACAAAAGAAGAGACTGAAGAAGATACCCAGTGCTGACCTGTGGATTCTATACCCATGCACACATATGTGCACATACCCACATATACACACCTATATAAACCCACAGGTACACAAACAAAAGGAAGAAATGGAGGAAGGGGAAAGAAAGAAAAAAGAAAGGAAGAAAGAAGGAAAGCAAGTAAGCAGTAACAAAAAAAACCCCAAAAGAACAAGAGATGGTTCATCAGATGGGGTACTTGCCACTAAGTCTGATGACCTGAATTGAACCCACACGATAAAGGTAAAGAGCGGACTCACAGGACTCTTGCATAGCTCCCCTCAAATAAATAAATAAAGTTTAAATTAATAAAATTTTAAAAAGGTATATGAAAAACTCAATGTATTGCTATAAACATTATACATCAACTATATAAAATAGACATATTGATTATGGACTATTACAAAATAGTAAGTACTATATAAAAAACTATTTTTTTTGTTTTTTTAAAAAAAATATTTAGGGCTGGAGAGATGGCTCAGTGGTTAAGAGCACTGACTGCTCTTGCAAAGGATCCAGGCTTGAA